ATCAACTCACCACCAAGCAAATGTAACTCCTGTTGAGCAAGAAGCAGCCAGTTAGAGAAAGAGCTGGGTGATCTGGGCTCTAATGAAAACAGTCATCAGCTGTTGATCAGCCAGAGTAAGGACAAGGGATCTTTCTGTTGATTGCTACTGTCTTGGAGGACATAGTAATAAAGCAAATTATCTCAACTTTTCTAAGAAAAAAATATTATTCGTTGTGATTTTTTATCTATCATTATGAACAGATATTGGCATTTAGAGGGTTTTTTACAGAAAGTCTTCATGTTAACCCGTTGTACTGCTCAACTGGTATTTGGGTTACTTTAAGAAAGTCTGGGGGTACTTGTTAGACCAGTTTGTCCCACTAAAAGCCCTAGATGCCTTTCTTGTCCCAGAGGTTAATTTCATACATGAAAATTATTACATTTGACTGTGTGTGAGAGACTTTGAAATACTATGTGACACGACTTGGGTGTTTTCTGGCAAATTACAGAAGATTAGAAAAAACAAACCATTTTTAACAGGAAAGTATTAGTGAAGTTAAAGGAGACATATTATGATTTTTTTAAGTTATAACAGTTCTATGATCAATACAAACATATTTATAAAGTTATTTTTAAAGCTAAAAATCCCTCTCACATGAAGTCACTTCTACAGTTTTATTCTCAACAGTTTTAGTACCTTCCAGAATGAGCTGTTTCAGGCTCCGTCACTTTAATAAAAACATAAGATGGAGCTGGCCACACCCATCCAACCTCTGCTCCGGCTGCCACAAGCTGAGAAGCTCAGATGTCAGGGAAGAGCCCGGAGTAGAGCAGTTGCTCATCCAACAGCAGCTCTCTCTTGCATTTGAGGTGGTTCTATTCTAATGTCCCCATTTGTGATGTCACAATCAGGGACTTTTTGAAATGACTTGTTTTAGACACCTAAAACCAAACACTGGCAGAAATGGGATGGATATTTTTTTAAACATGGGGTGTTTATAGAAGCAGTAGAGACCCATATGACAGCACAAAAGGATGTAAAAGGTAGGTTTTCCACAATATGTCCCCTATAAGAAAAAGTCTGAAAGCTTGGAAGCAAATCTTTACAAACTTAGTAACTCAGGACATTTGAACAGAGATGTATCTTTAAGGCAGATTTCGATTATGAAGTTAATTAGCTAAAAACGATCCCAAAACATGAAATTATTATTATTATTATTATTATTAATATTATAAATTGTTATTAAACAATTAACAAAATTTAATTATTTTGGTGGCAATTTTTTGTCATCATCCCTTTCTTGCATTTCTATTCCTGCTTTTTAACACCTTACCACTATTTCCCACACGGCCTGCTATAAGCTGAGAAGCTCTAATACCCTGGAGGGGCTGTAAGCAGAGCCGCTGCTTCTCGTACAACAGTTCTTTCATGTGAGAGGTGGTTCTATTCCAATTTCCCTGTTTGTGACATCACAAATGGGGACTTTTTGAAACTGCTGGACAGGAAGCAGATGAAAGCGGTATAATAGAGGCCCCAGCATAGAACCTTGTGGGACGCCATGCGCGAGGGAGATTTGGAGGACCATAACTTGGAGACAGTCACAAGGAAAGAACACAGAGAGAAAAACCTCTCCAGTGCAGTTCCTGAGAGACCCACATGGCAGCACAAAAAGAGGCAAATGGTAAGCTTTGCATAATTAACATTTCTACCTATTCGAAACTAAACTAAAACAAAGATGATTTTCATAGATTTTGCATCAGACCAGCTGGTTAATTTGTAATCTGTTCCACAATACTACTGAAAACAAAGTGGTTTCTCTAAATATAATCTGTACTGGCTGCAGGTTTTCATCCAGTCCTCCACATGGACTCAAGCGTGGCATTTCCTGGCTCTCCAACGAGCTCAAAAACACCCTCAGGCCTAAACCTGCGTCTCTGATATGACCAAAGCAGCCAGAATCGGGTTTCTGAGCACCAAGCAACCCCCAAAAGGCTTATCCTATTAAACCACATTCACTGTCTCTTGTGTTTTACCACAAGCAGACATGCAGAACCAGAGAGATTTTCCGTTTCAGAGCAAGAGATTATTGGAGAAGTGGTGGGAAAGATGGAAATGGTAGTGGAGAAGGCTATGCGGTGGTTTGGGCCCATCTGTTTCTGGCTAGGCCAATGACGGGAGGAAGAAAAGCTGAGCAGATACGCTAAGCATTAGTGGTAAACCAGCTACTAATGAGGGACAAAGAAAAACACTGAACTGGGATCAGACTGTTCAGCGTGCAGGGGTGGACCGTGTCCCAAAGACGGCCAACACTCACATAAACCCCGTCCGTAATAACTGGGATAAAAGGAAACAGAGGTCGGGCCTGGTTCTAATCTCTCTTGGTGTATTAACCCATCCATCGAGCACATGTATCCCATACGCTCACTTCCACACTTTGGGTTTAGCAAAAGTCCCAAACTCTTGGTTCTGGTGTTGTCTTGGCATGTAGAGCTGGATCCTCCTGCCAGCGGTTGGGGTTTGTTGGTTTTCATTCCTCTGATCGCCTCTCTTCCCTCATATACCACTCAAAGCCCTGGAATAAATCTTGGGAAATGAGAGGGCTTCCTCCCCCTCACTGCTACTTATTCCAAGGTGTGCAAATCCCAGGTCAGCCCAGGATTGCGCCTTTACACTGCCAAAGTGTTAAGAGACGGGAATATTAAATGACGGCAAATGACAAGTACAGGAGGATGTAAGGTAAAGAGCAGGAGAAAGGTGAGAAGTGGAGAAAGAAACAGGAATGAGATGAAAATCAGACGGAGAGACAGATAACAGGCGGGAGAGCCTCGGATTGGGAATGTGAGCCATGCTGAAACCATTCCGCTCAAATCAGCACCATGTGTCCTCCAGAGCCTTATTATCCCACAAATGAACTTTATAGAGGCAACAAAGTGCTCTGGAGCTCTGCAGAAACATTAAAGAGGCCCCGCTTGTCTCGGCACAGGGCCAAGAGGAGTCCTGTTCCTCAGGGGACTAATGAAAAAAAAAACACACACACACACAACAGGGCCCCTTGGCCTCGTGTATGCTGCCCTCAGTGCAGCCTCACAGGCAGGCCTGAGTAATAGCCTTTTAGTGACAGGGAAATAGTTTGCAATTACACAAGCGAGACAAAAACGGCCCAGGACTCTTGACCGACCTGACCCGGGAGGTCAAGCAGGAAGGAAGGTTAGCACATTATCGGACCTTCACAACATTTAGCGTACTTCCAAACAAATGTAGGCAATTCACCAGAAAATAAACTCAGAACGTCAGACACAGGTGGATTTTCAGGAAAAAAGCTATTATGTAAACATTGGATCAAAGTGTTTTCTGACCTTGGAGCAAACTTTTCATATAAGTAACCTTGTATGAAGGCTTTAGTGGGTTCAGATAAGCAGCTGAAACTCTAAACTGCTTCAAGTGATGGAAGACTGAAAGTCTGGAAATGAAAACCACCTGGAACATGGAGAGGTCATCAGATGCTGAAGCTCTGCTCCATTCTAAAAACTCAAAGCTCCTGCTAGTACCGCACGCCACCAGGAGGAAAACCTGCATGATTTAACAACAAATGTTTTTATTTAATGTGGCTCAAAGTGGGAACGAAACAACCTCACAACTTCTAAAGGAGAAATCAACATGCATAGCTGTTGTCACAGCTCTGATCTGCAGAAAGGTCTCCGAGCATCCTCAGGGTGCTCCAGGGATGAGCATCCAGCGAGGGGGAAGACTGCTGCGTGAGATAAACGTCCGTGACAGCTCAGACGGCAGCGAGGAAATCCGTGGGCGTGTGTTTGATGTGTGTATAACCACCCGCCCGGCCACTCAGCAGACGTGCAGCGGACGGCTGGGGCCCATTCCAACACTAACACCGTCTGATCCTTCGCAGGACGACACATTTTTTTTGTGGTTAGGAAAAAAAAAAAGGTTTACAATGGTTAACCCAACAGCCACAAGTGGATGTATGGGACTGATTAGGAGGCTGGAAATAAGATTAAAGAGATTTCTGCTAACAGACTGAAATGTATTTGCCATAATTGCTGAGAACAGCTTATTCAGAGCAGACCGCAAAAGAAAGAGAATAATAAAACGGAGGAAGGAGGTCTGCGACTTGAACCCAACTCAGGACGAGCCTTGTATCAATTAAAGGGCGTGTTCAGGTCCGAGCAGATGGATTAGCTCTCAATCTCCTTTATTTTCAGCTTTAGACATTCACTGATTGTTTTCAAAGGCATTATTTAACCACGTTGTGTTTTAAATGAGAAATTCCCCCGTGTAGAGTGTGCATTGGGGTAATTCTGAGGAGAGATAAGTGATCCAGCTCTGACCTCTGCTCTCAGCACTCGCTGGAAAAAAAAAAAAAAAAAGGTTTAATGAAAAAATAAATCTGCTGAAGTCAAGAAGAGAAACAGACAAATCAGAACAGGCTCAGGATTTAAGATAAAAGAGCGCTGTATGTGCCAGAGAGCTACTCGCTCTCATTCCTGGGCTGATTGGACTTAAAGTAAAAACACATGAGCAGAACAGTGTGTGTGTGTGTGTGTGTGTGTGTGTGTGTGTGTGTGTGTGTGTGTGTGTGTGTGTAAAAGCCCGCAATCACAGCTCACAACCCTAAATTTTTTTATGTTTTAATAAATGTTGAGGATTGGACAAGCTAACGAGCCTTTAATCTTTTCTCAAAAAAAGCTAGCAGACAGGAAACAAATCTGTTAAATCAGTTCTTTCCTTGTAACAACAGTACAAATGCATAAAACTGCTGTATTTCATCACATTCATATTTAAACAACCTTAAAAATATTTAGCCATTTACAATCAGTAAGTTCAATCTACATTTGTAGAGTTAAATGTAAATATAGAAAAATAAATCTAAATTTTGTAATCTAGACATGACGGTTAGCTAATATCAAACGCAAAACAGGTGAGGAGATCCTCCAGTCTAACACCTCAGAGTCTCATTCATCCCTTTAGAGGCCGATGCTAAAAAAAAGACACCAACAACATTGTAGTTTTCTATGTTAGGCACTTTAATGGGTTTGAATGACTGATCGACAAATATTGTTACCAAAGAAAACTTCCAATTTTAACACGCCGGTTAAACAGAACAGATCTTTATAGAGATCTAAACAGAGTCAGTTTCTGGTCTTTTAATGTTTGAATGAAAACATTAATTATTCAGATATATTGGAATAAAATCCAAGAGAATGGAAATGGAAATCTAAGCTTTTGGAGCTGAAAAGAGCGTTAGCTGTGATGGGAGTGTTTCAGACAACTAATGATCAAGAGGACAGTATATCTACAGCAATAAACGCACCTCTTTAGGTCCTAACAAGAGTCATCCTCTGGTAAACGTTACTCTGAGCACGCTTGGTGCTGCTCTACTTCCAGACCTGCTGAACATCAGATTTGTCACACTGTTGTTACTAGTTAAAGTACAATCTATGAAAAATATATCAGTGTAAAGGCACAAGAGACTCGCTCCACAATCACAACTACAGCACTACACCCTCAGGAGTCACACAGAGCAGCTCAGGAGAACACACGCAGAAAGCCGCCAAGTTCACAGCCACTCCCATTTTAATGAGGTTGTCAGCAGATACGGAAATCAGACCAAACAATTCACTAGTTAGTTTAGTATGCCGGATCGTATTCTTTAAATTAAAATGATGTAGTGTTGACAGCTCCCAAGACAAGTGACAACCCCTGAGCTGCAATGGTTCACATTTCTATTCACTTGGCCAGCCAAGTCTCACCACTAGAGGGCACTCTGATTAAAAAGACAATGTTTCACTGCAAACTTTAGGAAACAACTACCTCAAACCCTGCATGTACTCTGACTGAGAGGGAAATCAACGACAAAACTACCTGCAACTGTCGGCCATCTTCAAAGATGGCAGGTACAAAATTGTTAGCTCGACCTCAGGACGTGTTTGGACCTCCAGAGGGCAACAGCGGGCCACTAAACTAGTCAGACTCAGTTTACCTGGCATGGACAGGGTTAAAGGACAGATTCATATTTGAAGTGATATTTTTATTCTTCATTCTATTTTTATAGTGACTGATAGAACAAATATTAATCCTACAGCTAAAACAAACTCAAGTTTTAGTGATTTCACAGCAATTCTAGTTACAGCACATTCCCACGTTCCCCTGCAGCCCAGCAAGGAAACACAAAAGGGAAAAGTTCAAAGTAAAATTAGTTTTTCTCGTTTATACAAATGTGAGAAAACTAAACGTCCAACTATGTTTTTCTGCCAATGTCTCCAAGCTCTTTGGAGGAAATACTTACAAAAATATTGTTTAAATATTAATATCTGACATTATTTCTGACATTTGAAAACTTCTACACCACCGTTCATTTTGAATTACACGTATTCTGTCAGAAAATGAATAAAATTGCTACAGAGAGCTAGCTCTTCTGCTAGTTTCTGCTCCAAATATCCATTCAACAGTATGTCAGCAACCATAAACCAGAAGAACGACAGCAGTGTAAATGCTTATAAAATCCCAACATCTTTAATCTGTAGAAATAACCTATTTTTTCTAACCCTGCCGGATTATAACAGCATTTAGAGGAGTAATTAAAGGTTCTCTAACCCCTACAGCCTCGTTGGTAAAATATGAACCTGTCCTCTCACTTTCAGCAGCTTTGCAGTTCAATGTGAAAACATTGTGGATGGACGGTGCCTGTCGGGTGGGAATGTGAAAAGTGGTCTTTGTGTTCGTGTCCAGTTTGGTTTAGCTGAGCAGGACGAGTCACTCACAGCAGAAACACACACTTCAGATGACAATCACATTACTGAAGAGGCTGTCAAAAACAGATCATTCACACAAACTGTTATTGAATGAAAATATTTTCAGTGTTTGGAGTTTGATGAAGCTCCTTTATACGAAGCTGCAGATATCAGACTCAAAGTAATGCTAAAAAAAGGATTTCAGAAATGTGTTCTCTCTCTCTCTCTCTCTCACACACACACACACACACACACACACACACACACACACACACACACACACACACACACACACACACACACACACACACACACACACACACACACACACACACACACACACACACACACACACACACACACACACACACACGCAGGGCAGTCTCAGGGGCCAGATGGATGGTACTTCAGAGGGGCGGGGGACGTGACAGCAGGTGTGTTTGCAGCTCTAACACAGGAACTCCTGTCTCATGCGGATGATTTGTAGCAAGGCGGCCTGGACGTCTGCATCCATGTGACCCTTGGGTAAGAGAACAGAAATGAGCTGCTGTGATTCAACATAAACTTTAGAGAACTACTATCTCTGAACAAATCAAAAGGGTTTCTAACAGCACCTATGGCGCAGCGACAAAGCTGAAAACCTGATTTTCCACTAGCTGCAGGACTTTTTTACCCCTACTTCACACTGGAAGCACCAGCGGTGCGGAACGGCAGCGGAACGTCGCTGCTTCAAATAGAATCCATTATAGTCTATGGGGGTGATTCAAACCGGCCACGATACCGACATTTTTTGGCGTGTCCCAGAAGCAGGAGGTCGCGCCGCTAAAAATATGATGGGGTTCCCTTTTTGCCAGAAGCCTCTTCTGGGACACGTCAATTTCTGCAGTTAACATGGGGCTAGACAGGAAGTCACATACTGTTTCTGTTTAAAAACTCTGGCACTTTGAAAAATAAAGACTATTGCAGCGATGTGATTTCATATCTAGAATATGTCAAATAATAATAATAAGACATCAAACTTATATAGCTCTTTTTAAAGATGCTTTCATGCACGCTCACATTCACACACTGCTAGTGATGGTAAGCTACTTTGTAGCCACAGCCGCCCTGGGGCGGTCTGACAGAGGCGAGGCTGCCATTTGGCGCCGTTGGCCCCTTTGACCACCACCAACACAGGCAAGTTGGGTGAAGTGTCTTGCCCAAGGACACAACAGCAGAATACTGTGGTGGAGCTGGAGTCAAACCCATGACCCTCCGATCATGAGGCAACCCGCTCCACCTCTCCTGAGCTACTGCTGCCCTGTCAAAACATGTGACCTAACGGCTTATTTACTCCCAGCATCATTCCTGAAGTGTGGTGGTGTGTTTTTCATGGCTTTATTCCTGGAATTGGAGAGGAACAACATCAAACAGCGATATCAAACAGGATTTCCTTCATTTTGGTTTAATGGAGGGATTTTGGGATCTCGCGAGTTAAGCAAGGAGCACAGCGAGGAAGTCGTTCCGCGGCCAAGACTCTGCCGGTGTGTACTGGACCACAGTAAAAGTCACGAGTAAACTGTTCTGCTGATACTTCCGGTGTGAAGTAGGGGTTCTTTTAAAGCCACATTGATCATTTTGTTTTCAGGCTTTCTGTGGGTCTTTGGGTGTCACTTTTCTGCTCAGTCCTCATCCTACTGTGAGTGTGAAACATGAGGAACGTTAGGGGCAGCAGGCCCTTAAATAAGATTTCTACTGAGGACGGACGTCTGAAAGTCAGATGTTAGGTTGTCTGACACAAAGCTCGATCCTGAATGACTCACAGGTCACAAGTCTTTAGGTACCAAATCAGGCTAAAGATAAATGAAAACAGCCTAAGTCCAAACCTCTGAAAAACCAACAGAGAGCCTGAAATAGTAGAGCTCAACAATATTAGGACTACAAGAGAATCAGGCAACCTGAAATACAAACAATTGATAATAATACGCCCAAAAATTGTAGATTCTGGTTTAGGTTTGAAAATAAAAGAACGTTTCAGACGTAGGTAACCTCTTACAACAGAGATGAGACAGAAGAGCTCACCTGTGCTGCACTCAGTAGATGAGTTCGGTAGATTGAAACCACGTCTCGGTGCTGCCTCTCAGCATCCTGAACAGGGAGACAAGATGATAACTTCAGAGTACAGCTTTGAATTCAGCCTTGGCTTCACCTCCACTCATCAATAAAACAATCACAATATATTTATGACCAAAATAATCCTCAAAAGTTCAATTTAAACCCTCCCATAATCAGATTATAATCCAAGGACAGGACAGAACCTCACTCACAGCCAGCTGCTGCTGTAGGCTCTTGATCTGGGCTTGGAGAGCATCGATCTGCTGCAGGTGCCTCTTGTTGGTGTTGCTGGTGTAAGCCAGCTGAGACAGACCGTTCAGCGCCTGCTTCAGCCGCTCCACGTCTGTCAGCAGCTCTGTGATCTGAAGCACAACATTTATGTAGATTTAGAGGAAATCTCAATCTAAATCTAATCCAGTAGATTATACGGCTACAGGATTTTTTACCTTTTTGTCTTTGGCTTCAGTCTGCTGAGCGGACATCTGAACCCTCTTCTGCAGATCACAGATGGTGCTGAGCGACTCATCGTACCTCTCCTTTAGCTCCCTGATCTCCCTCTCCACGGCCCTTCCCTTCTCCTGGACGGCATCCACCTCGGCCCTGGCTCTTTCCTCGCCCTCTCTGGCTCGCCGTGCCTCCAGATGGGCCTCCTCACACTCCTGGGCTAAGCACTGTAGTTTGCTGCTCAGGCTGGTGGCCTCCTCCTCCAGCTGCTGCTGCTTCTCCTTGTTCAGACGGTTCATTTGGTCTTCCTTGTGGCGGATCTCCTCCAGAGCTTGTGTGGCCTGAAGCAGCTCGGACTGCAGAGCGAACACGTCCTCGGCCCTCTGAGCATTGTTCTCCTCCTCTTCACGGAGAGACATCTGAAGTTTGGCGACCTCTGCCTCCAGGGCGTCTTTGGTCTTGGTGTGTTGTTGCAGGAGAGAAGACCGATCCTTGTTGAGCTCCTGAAGCTCGCTCTGGAGGACACAGGCTCTCTGGGCCTCCTCCTGCTGAGCCTCCCTAGCTTTCTTGCAGTCGGCCTGAGCCTGCTGCATGATGTCATGGAGCGTTTTCAGCTCGGAGTCGTAAGTTGCTATCCTGGTCAGCTCTGATTTCAGACGTTCCTGCAGACTTTGGATCTGAGTCTTATGGAGAGCATTCTCCTCTTCCAGTCCAGTTTTCTGAAGCGTCACCTGCTGGAGTTCTTGTTCTAAGCTGACCATCTTCTGGGTCAGAACATCATATTTAGACTTAAACTCTTCCTCCACTTTATTGTGTTTCTCACTGGTGACCAGAACAGAGTCCAGCTTCTGCTGAACAGACTCCACATCAGCCTGAAGTTTCTCTTTCTGCTGTCTGAAGCTCTCCCTGGCACATCTCTCTTTGTTATACTTTTCTTCCATCTCCAACAGCTTCTCTGTCAGCTCCTTCACTTGGACACTGTGAGACGTTTCCTTCTCCTTAGCAGCTGTCAGAGGAACAAACTTGGACTGGATGGCCTCCTGGATGGTATCGAGTTCTTTCTTCTGGGCCTCCAGCTCTAGAGCGAGCTTCGCTGTTTCCTCCAGGGCCAGCGCGTGCATCGCTGAAGCTTCATCGGCTCGGTTCTCCGCCTCAACCACGGCAGCGTTTAGCCTGTCTGTGACCGATCTGTGCTGTCCCACACTTAGAAACTCCGTTTTCATCTCCAACATCACCTTCTCCAGCTGCTCTTTCAACTTCCCCTTTTCTTCTCTCACGTTCTTCAGCTCCTCGCTACTTTCTTTTTCCCTGGTTTCCATCTTCACCATCTCTGCCTTCATACGTTCTATGGTGGAGCTCAGCTCCACCTTCACCTGCTCGTGCTGCTGTTTGGGAACAAACTGCTCCTTCACACTCTGTCTCAGACTCTGGTTCTGCACCATAAGCTGCTCACGTTCTTTATCTCCGTCTTCACATCTCTTCTGTAGAAGATCAAGCGTCTTTGTCAGTTCTGTGTTCTGGGTCTTCAGTGTGTCCACCTCTCTCTGATGTGTCTTACTGGTGTCTTTGAAATTGTTGATAGTCTCCAGTAATGTGGTCCTCTCAGTCTGGATCTGCTGGACTTGTGCTTCTGCCTTTCCATAACGTTCACTGGCTTCCACCAGTTTGTCCTCTAGCTCCTCTAAAGCCGTCACCATGTTCTTCCGCATCTCCTCGTGATGTTTCATAGGTATGTAATCCTTCTCCATCCTGCTGTTGAGCTCGTCCAGCTGCTCGCGCAGCACATCCCTCTCATCTTCACTCTCCTCCAGATCTTGAATCAGATCCTGGCTCTTGGTGGTCACATCCATCAGCTTCCTTTTCAGAGAGGTGTTTTGTTCTTCCAGAGCAGCCACGATCCTTGAGTGCTCATCTGCAGACACAGCCCCCGATGGGACTGACGGGCTGTCGAGTTTCCGATGGAGATCTGCTACCTCCTCCAGCACACGGTCGTAGTCTTCCCTCAACTCGGCGAGCTGCCGTTCCTTCTCATCGACTGCGTTGGTCAGCAGGTTCTTCATGTTGTCGAACTTCTCAGCTGATACCGTGTTGACTTGTTTGGTCTGGGATTCCTTCACCTGGGCCTCCATCTTGACGAGAGCTTGAGCGAACACGTCTCGTTCAGCAGTGAGAGCTTCCAGCTCCTGGTTCAGCCGTTCGTTCTCTGCTGCCAGCTGGCTCTCGCTACTCTTGTACTCCTCCAACGCCTTCTCGCTCTGTTTGAGGCGGTTCCGAACGCGGCCCACTTCGGCTGACGCACCTTCATATTTGGACTTCACATCCAGAAGCTGTACACGCACTTCCTCAGAAGCCTGGCCGTCTAGGTGCTCCTTCACAGCGACCACATGAGCCTGCAGCTGTTTGACTTTACACTCAGAGTCCAGCATCCTCTTCTGGACGTCTCCCAGGGCGTCCTCCAGCTCTTGAACCTGACGGTCGGCCTGCTTCTGGATGCTGTCTCGGCTTTCCACCAGCTCCTGGCACTCGCGGGTTTTGCGGGTTAGTGCGGCCTGAAGCCGGGCCGTGTCTTCTTCTGCTGCCTGCTGCCTTCTCTTGACAACTTCGAGTTCACAGTGGAGTGCCTCCACCTCCCCAAAGACATCCCCGTCTGCTTTGGTGGGACTCCTTAGGAGGCGTCTGGACACGACGGCATTCTGGAGCAGCTGCAAGGAAAAAAAAACATTGAAAGACACAAAACAAAGCTAAATTATTAGTTTGTTAAACTAGAAATAATCAGACATTTTACATGAAAATATTCCTGTTTTGTTTAATACTGAAAGATTTCTGTAGGATTGCCTGAAAACAGCAAAAATCTAAACATACATGATGTTTCTTTAAATTACACGTCCAACAAAAATGTTAAAGAGCCACAAAACTCTGGTCAAGACTAAAATAAGTACTCTGAGAGTAAGAGCAGCACTTTTTTAGGTTAACTGATTAAAATATTATCGACTTCTGGAAGTTATGGTTTGAACTAAAAAATAACCAGAATCCGATCATACTGTTGGGATTTTAAACAGTACCACCTGTGCTTGGGTTAGCGGACCTATTTGGACTCAAATATTATTTATATTTCATTTATTTTTAAATCATAACAAATAAATAAACAAAAAAAATAAATGAATTCACGAACGAACGATGAACGAAGTACCTGGTCAGATTCCAGACTGTGAGCTTGTTTTACTAAAATGTTTTCTTTTCCTGAAAAACAAAAGCACCGATTATAAAGCAGGACTCAATGAAATTTAGAAATGAGATATTTTCTAATAAAAACAAATGACATTAAAATAAAAATGAAAAGGTGCTCACCCTTGATGACAGACTGCCCTGAGTAATCCCCCTGTAAATACATAAGATACACATTATTTAAGAAGTTTGGTGTCCTTATTAATAAAAAAATATGATAATGTTTTGCATTTATTATTATTATAATAATAATTCTTATTATTATTATTGATCCACCAAGAAAATTGCAGCTCAGGTGATCACAGAGGCAAAAAGCCAGATGTGAGGGGAGTTCGGTGAAACCTTAGAGCAGGGGTCCTCAATTATAATGGTCCAAGGGCCACACACAAAAATGACCCAGAAGCAAGAGGGCCGGAGGGGGGCTGCTGTTTGGATCGCTGGCTGTAATGCACATAACACACAAGCTTGCAATATAAAGAAGGACAACACCTGTCCCCCAACAGCTCGGCTGTGTGACTACACTACCCTGCCCTGTGTGACCCTCACCATGTAACCCTCATGTCCACGCTGTCTCTGGAGGAGCAGATAGGAGACAAGATCTCCTGTAACTTAAAATGAACCAAAGCTTCCTCCCAGTTTCTCTTTAAGCTGAATTTAACATCAGTTTATCATCATGAAACAAGAACTTCTATCTTCTATTTCTCTCTCCTTTTAACTTCTCTGTGTCCCTAAATAAAAGAGACAGATGATTACGCTGCAGCCGCCGTCACTCACCCTGCTCCCTCCCCAAGACCGGACCTCCCGACATCACAGCACTCAGTCTGACTGAGCGCTTCCAGGAGAAACAATAATGAAATTATGAAAATAATAATGCGTGTTTGGAGGAGCGTCCTCCGATCCTCTCTCTTGTGTGAGCAGACAATCTCCCTCTCTCTATCTCTCTCAGTCGCTGATCGAGCGAGCGGAGCGCGCCGTGCGACAACCCGCTCAATTAACATTATGTTATTTATTTATATGAGCGTCGCCGTTCAGAGATCTTCTCATTCCGGTGTGAGAGCAGCGTCTGAAGCACACAACCCGGTAACACCACCAGTAACAGAAACTGGTAGGGATCCGGACTTTTTAACAATCAGCTTTGGTGTAAAGTGAAACGCTGTTTATAACATAATGTTATAAATCCAGAGGGGTGAATTTAGGCAAAGTCAGCAACATGTTTACATCAGTGAACAGCTGCAGAGAGAACGCAAGCTAACGTTGGTAAGCTAGTTAACATACTGCTCTCTCTATGAGCCCCGGCTAGATGCGCTACTTCTTCTGATAACTGAACTGGGCATGAACTAGTTGAAGGAATGCTGGAGGAGTTTTGTTTTTGTTTTGATCGCAAAAACAATTTCAGGCTCTACATTTCCCTTTGTTTAGTAATCGTGTCGCTCACTGTTTACATACTTTTGCCGTCCACCATGGTGGACCCACGTGATTAGGTGACGTCAGTGCAAAGGGCCAATATGACCAGGGTCAGAGCTTGGTCTGCATTCATAACTTTATGGACAGGATTTCTAGGCGCAGTCAAGGTGTTGAGGGGATCCGTTTTGGTGGCCTAAGGATTGAGTTTCTGTTTTTGCGGATGATGTGGTCCTGGTGGCTTCATCAGAACGTGATCTCAGGCTTTTGCTGGAGTGGTTCTCAACTGAGTGTGATGCAGCTGGGATGAGAATCAGCTCCTGTAAATCTGAGATCATGGACTTGAGTTGGAAAAGGGGTAGAATGCCTTCTCCAGGTCAGGGATGAGGTCCTGCTCCAAGTGAAGGAGTTCAAGTATCTCGGGGTCTTATTCACGAGTGAGGGAAAGGCGGAGTGCGAGATCGATGGGCGGATTATTGCTGCATCTGCAGTGATGTGGGCGTTGTACCGATCTGTCGTGGTGAAGAGAGAGCTGAGCCGGAAGGCAAAGCTCTCGATTTACCGGTTGATCTACGTTCCTACCCTCACCTATGGTCACGAGCTTTTGGTAGTGACCAAAAGAACGAGATCGAAGATACAAGAAATTAGTTCTCTCCGCAAATGTCTGGGCTCGCTCTTAGAGATAGGGTGAGAAGCTCGGTCACCCGGCAAGTGCTCGGAGTAGACCTGCTGCTCCTACACATCGAGAGGAGCTAGTTAAGGTGGCTCGAGCATCTGGTCAGGATGCCTCCTGGACGCCTCCCTGGTGAGGTTTTCTGGATAAGTCCAACCAGGAGGAGACCTAAAGGAAGACCCAGAACAAGCTGGAGGGACTTTTAGAGGTTGCACATCTGGTACCGCTCGGCTTGCCCTGCATTGCATATATTGTTTCCGTACCTGGGTGGCCTGGTACTTTTCCCTATCCTACCGGGCGTATTTTTGGGCCCTTATCCTCATGTGGTCCCCTCAGGCTTGGTCTGGGCCAACACACCCAATACGACTGATTGGTTGGCTTAAGTACACGCCTACCATTAAGGGGGAGCCTCCGATTGGGGGATTGAATCAACCAGCGGGGGCTTCCCGCATGCGCGATTCCTTATTATTGTGGATGCTGAAACATACAAACGTTGCCTGTGACCGAAGCTGCGGCAGCGCTCTGTCTCTCTTTCTCACTGCTGTAAGGAACACACACCCACTCACGGCTGCCTTTGTTTAAGGGGGAAACCACAGACGTTTCCGTGCCTCTTTTGCCCCGTCCACATGCTCAGAGATTTCCCCGTTCCTGAGAAGTGTGTGTGTGAACAAACCCTAGCGGTGCGGGGGCCGGACCGACGCCACCCAGCCCAGTCCGTACCGGCCCAGATGGGAAACTGCTATATGTTTCTCAGCTGGCCAGGATTTAAAAAAATCTTATTAAACAAATTTTTCATCAGCAAATCACTGACCATGGTACTGCGATGTTGGACTTTGACCGTTTCTAATCCTCGAGCTCCTTCCTCTTTTTCTTTGGCACTAAGTAACACCTTCAACTGCTCCTTCTGAAGAAGAAAATACACGAGTTTGTCAAGCAGCAACTTTTAGGAAGTCTGAATAAAAATGTGAAACACCTAACAAAAGAAAACACAGCAAAGGATGAAACGCTTCATGTTTTTGTGACAGCTGTTGACAAAAAGGTGCCATCCAAAGAGCCCGGTAGAAACATCTGGAGCAAAGATGTCCACCAAGAACCAGTCAACTGACCAAGCAGATTTTCTATGACATTTGAGTTATTATTGTACGTTATGAAAGGCTGCAGCTTAACATCTCACAGCAGTTTATTATTGGACAAGCTGAAACTCACTCAAGGAAACGTCTAAGGATACACACCAGACACACTTACAACTAAAGCAAGTAGTGCCGTACCTCTTTTAGAGCGTCTCCCACAGCTGTTTTCTCCTGCAGATAAAAAATAATTTCACATTCAGTAAAACTCATTAGATATCAGGTATATCTGTTTGATTTAATTTGTGTGAAAAGTACTTGGCAGCCATTCCTGACCAGCATATAGCACCCACTGAAAGAGTACTTCAATCAATATTTTACCGATCAGTAATAAAAACACGCTCCCCTCCAAAAGGAGTCCTAAGTTCAGAAAATTAATTACACATTCCTAAACTAACGTTTTATTCGGTATTTAATTTATTTAACCTTACTATGTTTACTAATTTAAAACTTGGATGGGGCCAAAGCACTCTGAGAAAACATCGGATTTAAGTGTGTGAGCTCCAACGTGCCTGTGTGAGTTGCTGCTGCAGCAGGTTGTATTTTTCCATCAGGAGTTTCTGCTCCTGGTGGTGTTTCCTAAGATTCTCCTGAAGAGTCTCATTTGATCTTTCAAGTTCCTAAAACACAATACATCCACCGTTCTTATAACGCAAGAGTTAGCAAAACAAACATGTTTTATAATTATTGTGGCTTTGAATGTTGTATTCAAGCAGAGACCCAGATGTTTGAGACAAATCGTCAACCAGAGACAAGCAGAACTCACCTGTATGACTTGATCCTTTCTGTTTGACTCAGCTGTCTTTGATCTCTCCACTGACAGCTGAAAAATGGACATATTTGTAATAAAAACCAGAGTTCAATCATTTCAAACGTTCTGATGTGTAACCACTAGATGGCAGTCTCACTCAACTGATCAATTGAATCACAGAAGAGAAAAGTAGTACAATTGGAAACTTGGTAATTGTTCATTATTATAAAAGTTTACTAGAATTTAAGGCAATTTAACCAAAAATGAGTGCAGCAACACAAAGATTGGAGTTCCAGGTGTAGATTAGTTAAAAAGTAAAGCTGTGTCTGCGATTACCTGTCGCTTCCAATGGTCCACCTTTGCAGCCTCTTTTTCTGTAAAACAGAAATGTTTAAGTACAGAGAACATTTCTGAATAAGAATAAAAGTCATAAAAATAATGCAATACAAAAATTATACAAAAAAGTTTTACAAAAACTTTTAAAAGTCTAGAATCCATAAAAATAAAGATTTGATTTTCTTTTTCATAATTAAAAAATTGAAATACAAAAATTTGCATTTGGCAACAATATGTTGGTTCAGATATATAAAATTCTACAAAAGAAGATAATCCACATATGGTAAATGGCCTGTATTTGTATGGCACCTTCTTAGGGTTCTACAACCCCCCCAAGGCATTTCACAATACAATCAGTCATTCATCCATTCACACGCTGGTGGGGATGAGCTACGATGTAGCCACAGCTGCCCTGGGGCACACTGACAGAGGCTTGCCACCACCTGAAGGCAAGGACGGGTTAAGTGTCTTGCCCTAGGACACAACAGCAGCATTCTCTGGTCAGAGCTGGGATCAAACCTGCAACCTTCCGATTACTGGCTCTACTTCCTGAGCTACTGCTGTCCCTTGTCCCACATAGTCAGGTCTATAAATATTGGGACATCGACACAATTCTAACCACCACAATGGATATCAAATGAAACGAACAAGATGTGCTTTAACTGCAGACTGTCGGCTTTTATTTGAGGGTAATTACATCTTAATCAGGTGAACGGTGTAGGAATTACAACAGTTTGCATATGTGCCTCCCACTTGTTAAGGGACCAAAAGTATTGGGACAATTGGCTTCTCAGCTGTTCCATGGCCAGGTGTGTGTTATTCCCTCATTATCCCAATTACAAGGAGCAGATAAAAGGTCCAGAGTTCATTTCAAGTGTGCTATTTGCATTTGGAATCTGTTGCTGTCAACTGTCAAGATGAGATCCAAAGAGCTGTCACTATCAGTGAAGCAAGCCTTCATTAGGCTGAAAAAAAAAAAGAAACCTATCAGAGAGATAGCAAAAACATTAGGTGTGGCAAAAACAACAGTTTGGAACGTTCTCAAAAGGAAGGAACATGCCAGTGAGCTCAGCAACACCAAAAGACCCGGAAGGCCACGAAAAACAACTGCGGTGGATAACTGAAGAATCCTTTCCCCGATGAAGAAAACACCCTTCACAACAGTTGGCCAGATCAAGAACACTCTCCAGGGGGTAGGTGTATCTGTGTCAAAGTCAACAATCAAGAGAAGACTCCACCAGTGTGAATACAGTGGGTTCACCACAGGATGTAAACCATTGGTGAGCCCCAAAAACAGGAAGGCTAGATTAGAGTTTGCCACACAACATCTAAAAAGCCTTCACAGTTCTGGAACAACATCCTATGAACAGATGAGACCAAGATCAACTTGTACCAGAGTAATGGGAAGAGAAGAACATGGAGACGGAAAGGAACTGCTCATGATCCTAAGCATACCACCTCATCAGTGAAGCATGGTGCTGGAAGTGTCATGGCGTGGGTATGTATGGCTGCCAGTGGAACTGGTTCTCTTGTATTTATTGATGATGTGACTGCTGACAAAAGCAGCGCGATGAATTCTGAAGTGTTTCGGGCAATATTATCTGCTCATATTCAGCCAAATGCCTCAGAACTCATTGGACGGCGCTTCACAGTGCTGATGGACAATGACCCAAAGCATACTGCAAAAGCAACCAAAGAGATTTTGAAGGGAAAGAAGTGGACTGTTTTGCAATGGCCAAGTCAATCACCTGACCTGAATCCAACTGACCATGCATTTCACTTGCTGAAGACAAAACTGAAGGGAAAATGTCCCAGGAACAAGCAGGAACTGAAGACTGTTGCAGTAGAGGCCTAGCAGAGCATCACCAGGGATGAAACCCAACACCTGGTGATGTCTATCTGTTCCAGACGTCAGGCTGTAATTGACTGCAAAGGATTAGCAACCAAGTATTGAAATGTATAAGTTTGATTTATGGTTCTTATTCTGTCCCATTACTTTTGGTCCCTTAACAAGTGGGAGGCACATATGCAAACTGTAATGGGCTCGACACACGGGAGGCGACATCACATCTCCTCCATTCATTTTCAATGAGACATGCGCGACAAAGCGATAATCGCGGGTCTCCCTCCTACCAAGCGAAACGCGAAAAATGTGCGTGTGAAATTTTCCGCTCGTGCACGTGTCGTGCACAGGCGACCCAGCGACGCGATCCCAGAAAGTTGAAACATTTTCAACTTTTCATCGCTGTCGCTGGGACGAGGACCAATCAACGGAGGTTTCATTCACTGACCAATGAACGGACAGGATGCTCCGTACATCTCCGAGCAAACATGAAGGAGAAGTTGATTATTATGTTTTATATAGTAAAATCAGAAGTAAGATTTCACATAACTCTAGCAGCACCTTGTGAAACATCATATCTACCACTTTTTTTTTATCTCTGAACCGCTTAAATAACCTTAATTCCCTCCAACCTGACACAGCCAAACAAAACAACGGAAGTTTGAATTTCGCCATGGAACAGAACGCGTAGACGGCTTTGCCGCTGGCCGCTGCCGCGGATCGCCTCCCGTGTGTCAGGTAATAAAAGCAACGGCGACAAATTTCGCTGATCGCGGTCGTTTGTCGCCTCCCGTGTGTCTAGCCCATTATTCCTACACCGTTCACCTGATTTGGATGTAATTACCCTCAAATAAAAGCTGACAGTCTGCAGTTAAAGCACATCTTGTTGGTTTCATTTGATATCCATTGTGGTGGTGTATAGAGCCAAAAATGCTAGCATTGTGTCGATGCCCCAATATTTATGGACCTGAGTGTATAGTTGATAAAAATACAGTACTCCCTCACATCCATACCTCTTGTGGCCTTTTCCAAGTAACTTTTGACCATCGCAACGAGCTCTGGCTTATTGCTGAGGCGAGCATAGTAAAAAGCGTCGTGGCCCAAATTGTCGACAGCTTTCACATCAACACCTGTCTTCAGCAACACCTCCACTGAATCGTTGCAGCCAAACTCACAGCCCAGCATCAGCGGAGTCCTGAGTGAGTCAAACACAGTGAGAGTGTGTAGAAATGACCTTAGTATTAAATACTGCAATAAACAGTGTTGATTTCCCTCTTTTCTGTTTAGATTTATTTGTGAGGTTTTGGATCATCTTAAAATATCAATAGGTCTAAATAATCAGTTGTAGCTGAAAATGAGTTAGAAACTAATGAACGGCAACATGATCGTCAGCAAACACATCTGAAAGAGTTTAGTAATGAATTAACATTATTTGTGATCTGACTGTTTAAATCTAACCACGAATGTGACTGATCAAAACTGACGTATTGAAACAGGATCAGGGTGACCCAAACTCAAACACCTGCTGAAGAGAAGGCTCTCACTTGTTCTGTTTGTCTCTGACAGTAGTATCGGCTCCTCGCTCTAGCAGCAGCTGGCAAATCTGAGGGTGACATATCTGGGTAGCCAGGATGAGAGGTGTCCTGCCATCCTGCAGAAAAAAATAACCTGTCAGACAGATTACACTACATGGAACTAGTTTAAAGTAATCCAGATAATAGAGGACACAGCTACTATGTAGTAAGACCCTTGACTCCATTTCAACTTAATTTTTGTACCATGATGACTGATCACAAATAAAGTCTTGACCAACGGAGTATTACCACATTGTGTGTTTGTCATTTCTTACAAAGTCACTGGCATTCACAGGAGCCCCACTGTCACAAAGAAGCTTGACACTGGAGGAGCAGCCCGCTAACACTGTGGGAAGAAATCAGAAGAGCGGTTATTTTACCTCCTGAGAAGCGCACACACACACGCACACACACACCTCATGCTGTTGTGTGTAACAGGGTCAGCCCTTCATTTTAAATGTAACATACATTAAAATGCATGCAAATAACAATAATCATCTTATTTTTTTAAAAGATAATTTAAGTAAATTAGCAGGAATAGAGTAGTAATTTAAACGGGGCATGAAGTAAGAATGACGTTCCATTGCATCACCAAACTGCTTTTTTTCCATCCTTTCATACACTCATGTCTCTACATGAGTAGAGTGGAGTAAAGTTTGTGCTAGAACAGAGTGACTGGGGTTGAGTCAGCAGTCAGAGCCAGTCCAGACAGCTTCAGGAGTGTGAAGTCATGTTAACATAAGAGCTGAGTCATCTGTAGCACGCACCAGCATCATGTAGAGCGGTCCGTCCTTGTAGGTCCACGTTTCCAACTGGACAGTTATGCTACCAGTAAAAAAAAAAGCATAAAGACAATCATAAGTTTTATATTCCCCGATGATATGGAGCTTCAGTCTGAATCATTTAACAGTTACAATAAAAGCAAAACAATGTTCTGTGGTTATCTGAAGCTGATCTGTTAACCACAGCTCATGTAGTGATTTTGTAAAGTTTAATCCTTGAGCATCAGGAGAGAATGTTATAGTGACCGTCCCTTATTTCCAGCACTAGTTGGCAGGGCAACCCGAGAGCCAACAGCAGGCTGTTCACATCAGACAGAACGGTGCTGTGCTGACATGTTGGTGACATCTCTACAGTCCCACTCAGCAGGTTGGACACCAGCGGCGATGGTGATGAGGGCCTTAAGGACTCAATGCTAACAGGGGCCTGATGTTGCTGGGTAAGGTTGCCAGCCAGCTATGCCCCACCCACTAAAAAACCCCAACTCTCTCTAGCAACAAGAGGCAAAAATTATCAGCACACTCAAATCACATAGCTGGGGGGGCTCGTGGACCTGATGGATGAGCATGATGGTGGTGGATGGGGGGAGGGGGGTGTCCTATATCAAGCGCGTTCGGGCTCACTGAGTCAGATAGAGGGGGCAGTCAGTGTTGGCACCGAGCGCTTATGTGTGTGATGACGGCACTAAGAATGGACGAGAGGGGAGGGGCTTGGAGGGCAAGCTTGTCAACAGATAGTCTGCTGCCAGCGGCCACAACCTCCATTAGATCATTGCCATATGAGATGGGGAGGCTGGGGGCTGGGGGGAATTATAGGAGCACAATATTGGAAGCGGAAGCCCCCTCATTGTAAACACATATCATCCATTCTCCCCCACCCCCACCCCGAGGGGCTTGGTGACTCAACAGGGCTCACTGTTGACTGATAAGTAGAGGGCTCAGCAGCCAGCGGTGTTTGGCAATAATTATTTAAGGGGGCAGGGCCACCGCCTTGACCGACTGCAGACTGGTGTGGGCAACATGCCGACACACAAGCCACCCGGTGTGAAAACAAAAACATTATTAATGATGAGCAGCATGCTTTCTCCCACAAGCAAACAGCACTTTTCTATAAACTTTACCTGCAGGAGCTTCTGCACACACTGAGAATGTCCGTTCCTAGCAGCCAAGTGAAGAGCATTTTTACCTAGAAGATGTAAGCGCAAAAACTCAAATTCATTTATTGTCTTTCAAGGGTTTAAATATGTGTAACTATAGCATTCTGTGCCAGTGTGTAGTTATATTAGCATTATTTATGTTTTGGTTTTTGTGACAGAGATTTTTTTATTCTCTAGTTTTAATTAAAAACACAAAACTTGATTTCTGTGACTATAAAGCATTAAAAACATCATCATATAAGTAGCTAATCTTTGATTTAATGTTTCTAGAACAGAGACCTTGTGACTGATTTACCACAGTGCAACAAAACTAAAACAAACAGGATGTGGTTTTGTTGTCCAGTGGAAACTCACCTGCAGCATCACTAGCGGTGATGTCAACATTGTGTCCCAGGATGACATTAAGACAGTCAAGCTGTCCTCGTGATGCTGCCAAATGAAACCTGGAAAATAAAATGAACGAGCACATTAAGCAATCTGTGTGCCGGACGGACGTGGCACAGAGTGACAGCAGAGATTTGAAACAGGCTAGTGAAGGACAGATGTGGTGAAAAGAGTACGAGGTGAAATTTCAGGACAAGAGTGGGACTGGAAAAGGACAGCTGGCTCCTCACAGACGGCTAGATCAGCTAACAAGGAACCTCAATGAGGAGCAGGATAACATGATGTTTCCTCTCCATCAGGGTCATGAATGTGAGCATGAAAAAATGTGCAAACTGAAGAAAACAAACAAACATTAACTTGTATTTTAGTGTGTGTGCTCTGTTGTTACTGTCAGTGAAGGCATCATCCATCTAAATTAGGTGCAGGAAAATATCAGGTGAGAGAAAACTAAAAATAAAGTTGATTTCAACACAAAACTATGACATTTATTTTATGGAAAAATGCACAAACTCCTCACTTCTTCCCAAAATGCTCAGTGATGTTTAAACATTTCTTTTGCACTGCTTTGACCCAACCTACAGGAGCATTGCTGCAGCCAGCCCTGGAGGTCTGCAAAGCCCTGATGTGTAAACTAATTCTGACCTGTCACCCTTTGAGCCACATGAGCCCGTTTATACACTAAACCCGAAGAATCTGCCAAGGAGACAGCTAGGCTGTCACCTCAACACTGGCGTGGATATTAAAAGCAGTGTTGATGGCAAGGAGATGCTGCTCCTCGCAGGAGCAGTGGAGGGTCGTGACCTCACAGAGGCAAGAAGCACACAGGAAGCAGACCAGAGCAAATCAAGTTGGGTGGACACAAGTGACAAGCTCAGGAGTCTAAGGATTTTCCATCGGACAACTAAAGAAATGCTGCCCAACATATGAAAATCTTAAATTGGAGCACAGCTTGTTTTATGACTGATAAATAAGGAATGGTGAGTATAAGACCCAGAGATGTTGTAGACTTAAGATCTAAGAGAAAAGGATCTGAGGATGAACCAAAAACACAAGACATCAACTAAAAAGTTAAATGGTCTCTTCATCTGCGTAAAAATATAAATCCCAGTTTGTTTGTTGGCTGAAGGGATGTATGCAGAACAAGAATTTCTAGCTTCTTCCTCAAAAACGTTCCAAATGTGTTTGCATTAAAAAGAGCAGCGGTGCAGTTTCCTCCTCATGTTCCTTGGACAGGTCGACCGTCTACGGGATCTAGCAGCTATTTTCAAATGAAGGAAGAGTATTTATGTTGCTGTCGTAATCAGAACATATATGATGAAAGTGCGTTGCCTTTCGGCGCCACTATACGATGTCTGCAATGACTCTGAACTGTCCTTTTATATATTTGCTGAACAATTTCTTCCTTCCTCTACTTTTACGCATAAGGGCAACAATAGCCCAGGAGGTAGAGCGGGTGGCCAGGTAATCAGAGGGTTGTTGGAGGAATCTGTGGCACCTGTATTCAGCAGCCTCACCTCTGTTAGTGTCAGCTGTGGCTACATTGTAGCTCATCACCACCAGTGTTTGTGAATGTGAGTGAATGCATGAATGATTTGATGTAGTGTAAAGCTCTTTGGAGTCGTCTGACTAAGAAATGTGCTAAACAAGAGCGGGTCATCTATCATTTAGCATAAACTAGATTAAGTCTCAGATGATTTCCATTGTTTTCAGTGTTGGGGTCCTGCCCTCATGAGGAAATTACTACGCAGTATTTTCTCCAAAGGACTATGCCATCTACGCCCTGAAGCGTAGACAATAAAGCATATTGACATCAGCGCCAGCAGGGACTCCATGTCCCATGATCCTCTGCAGCTGGCAGCAGCTTGATGATGTCATCACGCGATGCCAAGTCTGACCGGCCCAGTGGATACCGGCCCCTACAGAGACCGCCCGCTGGACGAGTCTATAAAGCCGAGGCGCAGAGCGCAACTCGCTCTCTTTCCGTCCAGTTAACCTGGTTTAAGGAGACCCCCACCTCTGCTCCTACAGCTCCGGACGGCGTGTGCGTGAGGCCTAGCTGCTGAGATTAACGGACCAACGCCATCTGATCTGCTCAGCCCCAGACACAGAGGGACGCCTTGTGTTCGTTCATTCAAGATTTTTTTTCCTTTTTTTTCTCTCTTTCTCTCCTGCTTCTCTAATAGTCCAAAACAAGCGGTCGACCACGTGACTGCTTTAAAATAACAGACGGTCTCTCTCTTCCGTACTAAAAGTGCCAACGGACCATCTCGAAGTAAGCTCCGTTTCTTTTGTTTAATATCTAAGTTTGTTTATGCTGTGGCCAGGCTGACAGACTGTTTAGATATGTAATTTGCCTTTATGACTGATCTGTTGTTTTTCTTTTCTTGATCTTTGTGAAGCGATTTGAAGTGTTTTGATTAAGTTTACTGTGAACGTTTGCTCACACCGTCAAATACGCGTCTGATCAGGGTCCGACACCCACTGATTGTGCGTGTTTGGGAAGACAAGCTAAATTCCACACACACACACAGTTCGATCCTTTGTTCAGCCAAACAAAAGATCCGCAACTCCGTCCAGTTTGGTAATCAGCCTATCTCTGCTTGATTACATCACCATCTCACCCCACCGGTCTGATTAAATTGTTACTTCACATTAACATTCCATGGTTTCATTGCTTGTTGTTTGTTTGACAAAATCAGTTGGTTGATATTGATTGGCTAGCGCTTTGAAGGAGCTGAGGTGATTATATTAGTTAATAAATGTTATTGCCAATTAAGTTTTGTCTCAAGTGAATTTGTCTGTGTTGGATAGGATATGACCGCTGCTCGTTAAAAGAATTTTACGAACTTTAGACAGATTGAGATAGAGGTTTGGATTCATTTTTCCCCTGTAAAAAGGGGTGGTGCCCCGAGGCATATCCACGGATATCCTGATTACGTAATAAATCGGTAAATATTTCCATATTTACGAATTTTATTGATGAATCCAAAGGGTAAGTAAAGCTTACAAATTATTTGTTGGCTAATAACCACAACATCAGCTAAACTCTGTTTTAACAAGTCAGCTGTTAATCTCTGGAAACATTGATCAAAATGTTGTAAATTAATTAAATGATGCCCAGTTGTTGAAAAATATTAGCGGCTTTGTAACATACAACTATAAAAATAGGGTCTAACAATCGGGAGCAGGTCCAAGTCTCTGGGCGATGCCATATTAGACGCCATGTTTCCTTCTACTGGAGCCCATGAGGTCAAAATGCATTTACTGATTTGTAACAAATAATTACAAAACTTTCCATAAACATTGTTGTTTTACACATGTAGCTCTTCACTCATTGCCACTGACGAAAGGGAGTCTGTTGGGCTAGTTATTTTGCGGGGGTCGCTCTCCCAGGGATTTTTGACCCTTATAGCCATCCGTTGGTAAGGTCTTACTCAAACACAAAAATACAGCTTGCTTGCAATGATTTAGGTATGTACTGCCCCCATCAAAGGGGGAAATACATACTTTAAGGATCAAACCTACCTGCAACTGTCCCACACAGCAGGCTGCTGCGTTGCTTGTCCTTATCAAACATAACAATGGCACAATTATGCCATTCTGGGTTGGGAGTATGGGTGGGCTTACCTCACCGGGACCCAGCTAATACCACAGCAGAGATGTAAACTGTTTACTCAGCTGGAGCAGTAAGAGCTGAATTCATTAGATGAACACGGTGAGGCTAATCCAGGGCACACCAGATGATATTCAGGGGCTAACAGTTTGTAATTAGTTCCCTACAGAGGTTCCTGATTATAAGGAATCCTCCTTCAACATTCCCATGCCAGCCTTTGCAAAGGACAGAATGCCAAAGACACATGTGGTCTGTGTGTGGCCCACTGAACTATATACAGACCTCCAGAGCTGTGATTATGGTTCGTGTTTTGGCAAAAGAATGGCCGTTGTTCCTAAATACTGAACTACAGTAAGATAATTTTAAAGCTGAATAGTTCAGGTCAGTCTAAACACCTAAATGATGACTACCACTGTCTGGGTTCAACAGCCGGGCTGCCACAGATCCAGATCAAACTAATTCTATTACTGGTATTAATCAGGATGTGTGTGTATACTCTGTTTATTATACAAACCAGTGCTTTTTGAAATGGTGCTATAAGATAATTTAACATCACTGAAAATGCTCAGTACATTAATTCTGACAAACGAGCTTTTGCCAAAACGAACTTTTATGTCTAATATTGAACTTTAAAGGTCTTTCAATCGTAGTGACAGAATATATTTGCATTTAGGTGAAAACCTAAATATTTGTTTATAACAGCCTACAGGATTGTTTTCCAAGACTGGGACATCATGACCAAAACCAGGAAACCCAGGTTCTTAATCAAGATCTACCAAAGCCACCTGTTATGAGATGTGTTCCTCAGATTGTCTTGTGTACATGTTCTTAGGTTTCCCATCACTTATTTAAATACAACACTGTACATGGTAGAAATCTGGTGTTTGCGAGACCAAAAATGAACAGCTAAAATGAAAAGCTCAAATATAAAAAACATGTTCTTTGAGATGCCAACTGATCCTGATGACGATCTACAGCTGGACCATAAATGGATTGCTTATTGAGAACCATGGGAACACCGTGGTGGATCTCATCTGAATTTGAGGGGAGTTATTTCCTGCTGGGACTACACAAACAACCTCTGACCAATTTGGTCAAGTTTTCAGTGTCCACAGACATTCTTTATAACAACTCCCACACTGACCTCAGGTCAGCTGGAGAGAAAAGGGGATTTTTTTTTATATAAAAACATGAAACTGCAATGTATGTTATTTGCAGGAAAGTTGGAGGAAAGCTGTATTTTGTTGGTCAAGCAAGGAAATGTGGCACTGATGAAAAGAAGTAATCATAAAGAAACATCTGTCTGAGATTTGGGAAACATGGGTCTTTAATGTGATAGACGATAGAATCAATATTTGTGCATAGAACCAGTGCCTCTAAACAAACATGATCAAGTTCTGATGTGTTTGATTACTCACGCAGAGCGTCCCTCCACATCGAGCTTGGTGGGAATGACACCCTTCTTGCTGATAACAGCAGAAGCTTTGTCCACTTCACCACGTTCCACTGCCTTCATCAGCCGATCATCATACTTGTTCCAGTCTGTGTTCTGACAATGACAGAAAACATACAGGTTAATGGATGGTTCAGCTCCAAATCACTTTTTCAAATTATTGGACCAAATGTGTATTTAGCTGAACCCGCCGAGGCCTGATTCAACACGTAAGAATACCAGCTCCCTTATAAGGAAAGTGCCTAAGGTTTCCCCAGTAGTGATCATTTGGTTTCCAGTTCTTTTGGCTAACAAATATATGTGTAGCATGTGCAAATGTGATAAATATCCTCTGAGAAAAAAGCAGCTCACAGACACTGTCCTCTTATTCTTTTACTACAAAAATGAATTAGAACATGGATTTGTCTAAGAACATGCCAAGAATGTACTGTACTGCAGCCCCAATAACCCCCCTTCCCCTCCCCCTACATGAGTGACAGCTACAAAACATGGGAACCGCACACTCATCTGAAAAACATGCAAGTGGGATAGCAAGCATCAAAAATAAACATGCTTGACTGAAACAAAAACTAGTATGAAAACACCAGCAGTAAGTGTGAAATTCATGTAATTACACTTTTTTACCCTTTACACTGTCAGTAAGCTCAGAACATACAGCAACTGTAAGAGGAGCCAGTGGCGAGAGAAACGACCAACAGTGAATACATACAAAGTGCATGGAGGTGCATTTCAGCCAGCGGCTCATCTTGGGTGAGTGGAGCTGGTCCTTGCACCGTGCTACTGAAAACGTTGCCACTGTTCCGGTTTACAAACACAAAATAAAAGAAAAACAAGATGTATAAAAAAGTCCCTTCAGTCTCTCAGTGCACTCAACCAGTGAGTGCAACAAAAACTGAGAAGAAGCCGAAGGGTGAAAGTCTGCGCAGCAGTGGACGTCCTTGTCCTGAAGGCTCCACCTCTAGGGTATCCTTCACTGGAGGCAGAAAAGATCATTTGTCAGGACTTTGTAAGCTTTGCTTTGTTGCTCATAAGCTGTGCTTGTAAGTCCATCACTGCACAGCAGTTTGGCTGATGGTTGGAGGGAAGAGGAGGAGGAGGAGTAAAAGAGGAGAAAGGAATGGAGGTGGAGAAGCAGTAGGGCCAGCCCTGCCAGCACCGGGGACCTGCCCTGGCCGGCAACTGCAACTCCTCCTCTGGTGGAAAAGTCAGCTCAGCCTGGCCTGCCTCTCACCTCCGACGGGAGTCGTCCCTTCGACTTCTGCCCTTATCCTAAATCCTCCTCCTACCTCTCCTTGTATTAGGATTCTCTTCTTTTGTGTCCCTGGTGTGTTTTCTATCTGGAAGAGCTGCAAGCAGCTTATCGAATGATAACGAAAGGCTTTTCTGTCTCTTCTCGCTGCTGTTAGTGGTCTTCAGCTTCTTCACAAGACCAAATGGCAAGGTCAGTCAGGCGCAGTGGGGTAAATATGTAAGCTCTCCCAGGTTTAAAATATCACCCCCTCCCTGGTAAACAGCAGCAGTGCAGACAGCGCTGCAGACTGGTTACCTCTTTATTTTTTGACCCTCCAACCTTTCTGTAGAGACTGATAGGAAGACGGGGGCTAAGAATACATTCTGGACATGCCAGTACAATGAGTAATGGCTTTAGTGTCTTTCAGCACTGCGAGTGTAAAACAAGGCCAGCCAAAAAAGCCTTGCTTACATTGGCCCCCACCCCCTCTTTGCTCACCTCCAAGTGAAAATAATAATGTCAGGAGGGGATTATTTGAAGTGGTATTGACACAGACTCTCACAAGATCATACAGAGCCATAACCTGCCGTTAAACCATCCATTTAAAAAGGGTGGTGTTGCTGCAAAGCTCCCCGGTCCTTGCGATGCAGTCAAAAATCAGTTAAAAGCCAAAGCCTGCAACCTAAGAGTACAACTTTCACTTTTATAATGGGGCAAAAATGCACAGAGACAGCAATCTGAGAAAGGAGAAGGAATGGAATGCTCGTTTAATTTGCACACTGCATCAGCTCCTTGTGGGCTCTGGTTACTGCCTGCTGCCAGACTGGCGTTTACAGAGCAACAGAGATATTCACAAACATGCAAAAAGACCTCTTCCACATGACATGTCATATGTAGAAGTAGGTGTCAACTTACGAAAGCTGCTCACCCTCGCATGGAGACAAAGACGCCAAAATGGCATTTAGCCATTACATACATTGGTCACGTAAATATCTCACGTAGGTATGCTTGGGCGTGTGTGTGTGTGTGTGTGTGTGTGTGTGTGTGTGTGTGTGTGTGTGTGTGTGTGTGTGTGTGTGTGTGTGTGTTTGGGGGGAATCTGTTAATGTACTAGTTAATAATAGGGCTGTTAGCAAGCAGAAGTTCATTTAAAAGATGCTATTTGATGCTGATATAATATAACCTCATTTGACCTTTTATTTAAACACCCTGATGTAAAACTTGGTATTTATTGTCATTTGCATCATAACCTAACACTATATGTGGATGACACAGTTATGGGCTAAAGTTTAATGATTGTGTTTGATGTTCTTCTGATCGTTTAGCTCTGGATTAACATGAAACACTTCACTACACCTATTCGGAGAATGATAACAGCTGATGAGATCCAGTTATACATCATGATGTAATTATACTGCATCTCTGTGATTTGATTACGTATGCTTAAACCAAGCTCTGCTGGTGTAATCATGATAGCTGCGTTTGAGACTTTGAATCCTGGATGATGGAAGACTTTCTCCAGCTCAACCGGGACAAACTGAAGTTTTAGTCATTGGTCCTGAGGCCCAGAGAGAAAACTTTTACCAAAGCTACAATCACTAACTTTTAATCCTCCTTCTAATCCTACACCAACGTTGATGCCGTACATTAAGAATACCACAAAATAGGTTTTTAATCATCTGAAAAACACTGCCAAGAATATGCCCCTTTCTCTCTTGGGCAAATATGGAAACGATGATGCAAACTTTAATTACCAGTAGAATTCATTAATGTAATACCCCGCAATTTGGAGTTCCCAAAAAGAGTACCTCAGGTTCACAACTTCTTCAAAATATAGCAGCAAGAGTCCTGACAAAGACCATCAAAAACGAGCTGCGCTGGCTCCCTGTACATTTCAGAATGGATTTTAAGGTGTCGTAATGGTCTTTAGACTTATCTCTCTGAACTGCTACTACCATATGAGCTTCCATGGTCTCAGAGCTCCTCTAGCAGCCGTCTCCTCGTCATCTCAATAGTCAGGACACTCGCTCAAAGCAAAGTGTCCTTCCGGTTTTATGGCCCTCGCCTCTGGAACGGTCTGCCAGAGGACCTCAGGGCCACAGAGAATGCTAATGTTTTGAAGGCCAAGCTCACGAATCACCTTTTTAGTTTAGCTTTTAGCTCAATTTTACCTGTTTTAGCCAGTTTATCTTTCTTTTATCAGTGTTTTATCATTTAGTATTTTACTTATACAGCAACTATTTTCTTATATACAAACGTGGACAAAATTGTTGGTACCCTTTGGTCAATGTAAGAAAAACCCACAATGGTCACAGAAATAACTTGAATCTGATAAAAGTAATAATTACTAAAAACTTCTGTAAAATTGATAATAAAAAAATAAAAGATGTGCGTATGTTGGCAACATTCATGGCCTTTTAACAAGCTGTACCACCTTAAGTCACATAAAAATGTGACTCAACGAAATACATGTGACAGCCTCATCTAGTGGACAACTTTTGTCTCTGCACATACTTGCAGTTATCGTCCGTTTATCGTTATCGAGGCGAAATCCTCAATATATCGTGATATTGATTTTAGGCCACACCTCCCAGCCCTACTTTGAATGTGGCATGGTTGTTGGTGCCAGACAGGCTGGTCTGAGTAGAAACTGCTGATCTTCTGGGATTGTCACGCACAGCCATCTCTAGGGTTTGCCGTGAATGGTCGGAAAAAGGGAAAACATCCAGTGAGCGGCAGTTCTGTGGGTGAAAATGCCAGAGGACAATGGCCAGACTGGTTCGAGCTGACAGAAAGGCAACAGTAACTCAAATAACAACTCGTTACAACCAAAGTATGCAGAAGAGCATCTCTGAATGCACAACACGTTGAATCTTGTGGCAGATGGGCTACAGCAGCAGAAGACCACACTGGGTGCCAGTCCTGCCAGCTAAGAACAGGAAACTGAGGCTACAATTTGCACATGGTCGTCAAACTTGGACAACAGAAGATTGGAAAAATGTTGCCTGGTTTGATGAGTCTCAATTTCTGCTGCGACATTCAGATGATAGGGTCAGAATTTTGTGTCAACGACATGAAAGCATGGATTCATCCTCCTTAATATCAACGATTCCGGCTGGCAGTGTAATTGTGTGGGGAACAATTTCTTGGCACACTTTGGGCCCCTTAGTACTAATTAATCACTGCAACAACACAGCCTGTTGTTTGGTGACATGTGTACCACAATCAACCACCAGAAGAAGCGAAGGAAGAAGTTTTCCTTTCTTTCACTTAACGGCACCAACAATTTTGACCATGTCTGTATTAACTTTGACCTGTTTTAACCAGTATCACTTATTTGTATTTTATTATTTATTATATATTTAATTAAATGCGTGTTTTGTTTTTTCTCTCTGTGCCATGTGGTGGTGCCTGGCCTGCTGCTGCTGATCCTGTTTTTTTATTTAACTTTTGTTTTGTGTCCTGTCTGGCTGTGAAGCAAACAGAATTGATGTCCGAATGCTGGTGACAAGACTTACAGATTTACTCTCAAGTGGAGCATCAAAGCATCTGCCTTTAATGTCACGCCTGATACTTCAAATTTTACTGTTATTGTTTTTTGACCGCTTCATCATTTCGACCAGACACGGAGAAAGAGGTGAAAGAGAAAGGAAGAGGGGGGGGGGGGGGGGGGGGGTGCACAAAAATAAACCAGCAATGATGAACAAGAGTCTGCTTCTAGACCTGCAGAAAGAGAGAAACAAACAAAAAAGAAAGGGACACACAACAATACCACTAGAGCAAGCTATCACTGCATTAACCTGATGAATAAATATAAAATCAACATTGTTTTACTGAACAATCATGATAATAAATCAATGTGCATTAAGTGCCAACCACAGCCTTAAGACATGTTGAACATGCCCAAGTCCATACTTATGAGAGCACCATGTGAGCACCTGTGTGTGTACACGCGCTTGTACTGTATATGTAAGTTTCTCTATAGGAGTGTCCAATAGAGAGTGTGAGGGGCCACAGATCTGCCCTCCAAAGATGTGTAGGAGATGGAGGGAGCTCCAAGTCCCAGAGATCCAGGAGCTGTCCTAGAGCGCAGGGACCCCAGGGAGACTAACCATAAAAGCCCCAGGCCCCTCTCGAGAGGCGCAGAGGATTGCCCCGGGGGTTCACAACCGGCAGCCGGCAGAGTGCCGGGAGATATCAGAGGAAGACCCACAGGCCCGCCCGCAGCCTCCCACCCCCCAAGCCGGCCGAGCCCGGAACTCAGTGACCTCAGACCCAGGGGCGACCAGCAAGACCGCAACAAGACAGCCAGCTCCCCCTCCTAGCCTCCAGCCCCGGGAAGCCAAGCGACAACAGAGGTGTGCCAAGACCTCTAGTCTCCCTCCGCCTGCTCAGCCTCCAGTGTGTGGGATGGGGTTTATGAGGAGGGAGTTATAGGAGGAAAATCGTTTTTTTATCTATGGGGCAAGGGTGGGGAATTGACTGTTGGTAATTTTTTTTTATCCTGTAGAGAGCTTTGAGCTGCACTCACTGTATGAAATGCGCTTCAAAAATAAAGTTTGATTGATTGACTGATCGATTAATTAATTAATTAATTAATTAAATCATGCACATGAAGACACTATTATTTTATCTAATAAACTGAGTAGCAATTGAGGTTTCTGCTCATTTGGCTACCATAGAATCAAAGATCTGTACGACAAAGCAAGTTCAACTAATCTGGGATATTTCAGGAGATCAGTCTTAAATAATCCAAACAATAGAGGTTAAGTCCAGGTATATTATGATGTACTATAGTAGTTATACAACTCAACTACAACTATTTTGATTCTGACTAATTGTGTTCATGCTAAATGAATGGAATTACTGTTAGATAACTAGATTTGAGAAGTAATTGTATACCACCATATTACCATATAGAAGAAAATAATCTCAAGCTATCCAAAACAAAAAAGAACTTCTTAACATCTGTGTTCAAACATCGATATCAAACAGGACAGAAATACACCAGCTGCAGATTGCAATATACACAACCTGCAGCCAAAATGTCATGTAGACACTGTTTGTACAGTTACATTTAACAAATAATGCAATATTTACTCAACAGCAGCAACATGACAATATGGGCAATGTTGCGTTTATGTAGTTCATGTGCCAGGAGCATAATAAAGTGCCCTTATGAATACGAAAAAATAAACAATAGCAGTTCTTAAGGGTTTTTGTGAAACCATTACACAATTACACAAATTGTTGAATTTCTGCAGGCACCACATGTATAGTAGATTCTGTGA